CTGTCTTCCATGTCACATCAATTCTAATACGAGTTCAACGCGTCTGCTGAACAAGACAAACAACTGTTATTTATTTTCCCTTTTTCATTTATTTTTTCAAACACCTTGCCATCAGTTTTACAGGAAAGAACCTGTAATCTAGGCCGCAGGCCCCAAATTCATGGACTTAAAAAGCTCAGCATAGGTGAAAACTCGCAATGCTGCAAATATGAAGAATTTACGAACAGATGTTTGTTTAACTATATCTTATTATTTTATAAGTTTCTTCGGTCCGTGTCCTCTACTAGCAAGACGTTAATCAATAAACAGCTTAATGCGACATTTCCCCTTTGTTAATAGTTCCACCGAGTCCAACTATGTCTTTCTGGTCTCAGACTACATCGGTCCGTTATGAAAACCTAACCTGAGATCAGGCTCAATTTTCGTTTCGCTTTGTAAATAACATTCCTGTGGCCGTTAGAGGATGTATGAGAACCGCTAAAATTAGGCCTGATCTCAGGTTATGAAAACTCAATTGGAATACGCATCTCTTTTCAGGGGATAATACACAGCTGTACGTAAAAGTAAAAAAACTCATCCAGCAATTGACCCAATCCCCTCTAGCTTTTATTAACTGGGCTGCCTCAAGGCACGCCCTAGTTCATAAAATGGGTAGTTTTCTCTGTCGAAAAACGAACACTATCACTTATTAACCCTCTAACCCAGAGGGCGTTGCGTGATCCTTCAAAAACGAATTAATAATTCATATGCCCATTGACCTATCAAATAGTCGATCATACATCACTTACAGTGACTTTATATCGATAAAATCTCCCCTTATTAGTATGCGGTGTTTTATCAGATATAAAGTCATTGCACGTGACTTATACTTATGAATATTATTATCAGCACAGCAACTGACACAACAAATGGTGGGCGAATATTTAATGTTCTTTCAAAATAACACACGAAGTAAATTTACTATTGCACAAAATCAAACTTTGTTCTTTCACCAATTTTATCAGCCAAAAGGTCAGTGACTGAAAACTAATAATGGGTATAGTAGTGTCCAAGCGTTGCACTTAAGGTCGCTCGATTGGACTTTTTAGGGGGGATACCTCCTAAGTTTGAGCATTAACTACGTCGGCATGAGTAAAGATATGGGAAAAAGGTTACCCCTACTGTATTATATAAAGATGAAATGTTTTTATGATCTGGGTTTTATTACAATCGGAGTCGCCATGGCAACGTAATGACGCCATTACGTTTTTTATTTATCTTTGTGTTTCTCTGTACCAGGAGTTTTTTCAAGAAATCGCTTAAGGGAGTATGTACCTGCCATAATTGCCTCAATTATTGCAAAGTTTCAACAAATTCTATGGGAGCGTTTTGGAAATATTTTGAAACGAAGTTTTAAGAATCATAAAAAGTGAAATAGCATACTATCTACACAATTAGCTAATATTTTAAGAAAGTGATAAGCTTTGGAAAAGCGGCTTCATCTCATAGTAGTTTGATTCCATTGAAAACTGCGTACAAAAAAAGAGAATTGCTCTGGGCGATCGCGAGTAAGAAGAATTTTATTAACCTGCATTCAGAAGCTTTTGTTACAGTTTTTGCATGCAATTTGGTACATGCCTACAAATTTCGCATTATTCAGAAAATCGCTCGATAAATTTTCTTATAAACTACACAATCCCGATTTCAATTGTGAATAAATATACCCTGTAAGCTTCAAGAACATTGAAAACTGGGAAGGCTTTTAAATAGAGCTTCAAATATAACCAACTGTTCCCTTTGATTTTGAGTTTACAAGTGTGCGTCCTCATTATTCACTGGCATTGTTTTCAAGTTTCATATGCACGTGCACGAATATAAACAAGGTTATATAAGAGACGTCAAACTAAATAGTTTGAATTGAGCGGGTAATGCTTTGCAGCGCTTTAAAGTAGCCATTGTCCTTGCAATCAAGTTCTCAAAATCTTTTGTTGATGTAGAGTCTGCCAGTATTTAGAAATCACAACGAAAGAAATCTTAATTTGCCCTACCACCGATCATCAACAAGAAATCGTTTCGCTTTCCGAGAAGAAGGAAAGACTGGAAACAAATAACTCTCTCTACTAATTTCCTCGTTGGCATCTCAAGAACTGAAACTGAATATTCGAATCTTAAACTAGGAAATGTAAATGGCTAGATCAACGTACTCACCAAGAAATCTGTCTCACCAGATCGAGAAGGAGAAGTACCAAAAGGAAAGAGAAAATTGAAAACTCTGGGACTGTC